ATACCCATCTGATACATTTCAGCCACTTGTTTGGCCCATACACTCTTACAAATTTATTAATCAGGGGCTAAATTAACAAAATATTTGAAATAATAATACATACGTAGTTTTATATCAATATTAAGCTTATAAAGTATGAAAAACTCAATAATGAGCTATTAAAAGCTTGTAATGAAACAGAAATATTTCATTGATAATTTGATTACCTTATGCACAATTCATATCATTAGAAAATGGCAATTGTGATAAGTTTTATTGATCATTTGAATAGAACATATGCTTTGTTTCTTCAGTTCAATCGGATGTGAAACATTGAATACCATAATAAAAAATTAGCATATAATACAAGAAGACATCACTTTGCAAATAACCACTCACATATTGATTACAATGATGTGTACGTTTGTATGGTTTACTTTCTAAAACTATCAAAATATACATATATATATTCATTCATATATGGGTATGTATGTACCTCATCGCTCACCTTCATGTCTATTGTCTTCTTGTCAAAGCAAACCAACTTGCTTGAATTCAAGTAGTCAAACCTCAACAAAGCAATGGTAAAGGCATGAAAAGCACAGGTTGTCTATTATTTTGTGTATAATTATCCTTCTAATATCTTTCTACTTATATTGAGCTTCATTTCACTCAACTATCACTTCTAACAGAATAATCATTTGATCAAACAACTCAGGAAAATAATCTAGAGAGAAATCAGCTTACATAAGAACTTAAGTTCCTGTAGTTGATTGTGAGCCCCCCGATAGCATATATAATCATCAAACACAGACTAAGAAATATGCAAATCTGAAATCTGAAACCATCAGTTTAGTTTTCTCTTTCTTAATATAAAATAAACAATCCAATAAATGACAAAATTAAGGTTTAAAAAACCTATACATATGACCTCTCCATTACCAGATAATCAACACCCATAAAAACCTTTGTGTGAGCAAAAGAGAGAAATACACCTCTTGTACTTACCTAATTAGTTTTCAAAGAAGCATAGTCACCACAGAAAAAATGCATGTCTGGATCAGTGGCTTCCAATTCCCTTGTGATTTTATCTTGAAGATCTTCTAAGATCTTACAAATTGAGTTCAACGGTTCTGTGTGAAACCGAATTATTAGTTGTTGATTCTAAAAGAATTGATGTATATTTAACATATTTCAGTGGACTCAAATATAATGTAAGAATCAGAATTGATGAGGTTAAAACAAGTGACGAGTGCAATAAAATTTGTACTTTATTCAGTTCCATATGCACCAAGGCCTGATCTTTTCCATTGCTTTTTTACCATTTTGATTCTCCTCATTTAATTATATTCTACTCTTCATTTTAATTATATTCTACTCTTCATTTTGGATCAGTTATATTATCCTCGATCATTTATTTATATAAACTGCCATAAAAAAAGTTTGATGGCACTTCATAAAAAAACATCTTAAAGTTTGATTTGGTTTCTTCAACTTTGAAATCAAGATTGAAGTCATATGAGATTATCTTCAAATTCATATTTGGTAGTGATTATTGAAATTGTTCTAATTTCTAAGTTTCAAAGATAGCTCGTGTAGACTTATATACAAATAGATGGTGTGCAAAACCATCCAAAAAATCACAAACCCAACAATCTAGGAGTTCAAACATATTACAAACAAAATATGCCAATGCTATGGTGAAGTATTTTGAAGGACAATAATATTACCTCATGGAGATGGTGTGAACGCGATAGACATGTCGGTAGCTTCAATTTATAGGCTTAGGAATTTATCATCAGAAATAATCCATTAGGTCATCAATTTGTATTCAGTGAGTCGATGATGTGTGAAAAAGAAAACCTAGAGATTTAAGTTCTTCCAATTGCCTCTCACTTGCTGTAAATCATCAAAATCAGACAGCTACCCCTTTCTTTTCCAATTTTAATTCGAAAGTTTCAAATTTTCATTGGGGAGAATGGGTCTTGAAAAGAAAAGGCAATAATTTACGGTTTCAAATGGAGAGAAAGATGGATTTTGGAGCTAAATCAAGACGAAAATCATTGTAACTTGGGAGCTGATTTCTCGTATAGAAGTTGGATACCTCAAATACTTGAAAGACATGCAGAGAACACCAGACAAAAAAAACATAAAGCACCAAAAACTTGTGTACATTAATTACCTTTTGTTTCGATATTATAAAACCCAAGAACATTGTAGATGTTTTGGATGAAAGGCTCACATCTGCAAGTTGGGAATCAATCGAAGGGTATGAGATGTTGTCATGGTTGAAATCTGAAACTTCAAACCTACAAGTTGATTCTGAAAAGCATACACAACGATTATAACCAAACAAAATTGACATATACAACAGTGGAATAGAGGAATACCTCGATGGCAGAAGAGCTAGAGGATGTGAAACCAGACCAAGCAACGTACAAAACATCATTAATGATTGCAATTCAACGAAGTTCAAGAGCTAGAAATGAAAACAGAGAACCAGAAGAAGAAGTTGATTGAAGAGTTTGAATCAAATGAAGAGGAGACAAAATCAATATACACATATTCGTTTGTTGAAGTTCCTGATTTATCTCTTTCAGTTTGGAATGTTGACCGTTAATTTTGGAATAGATTAGCAATCATATGTGCTCTGATCTTCCGTTTTAATACCAAAATATTGGTGAAATGCTCTGGGGGTATATTTGGTAGGGATTCAATTTGACTAAATCAGAGCTGGAGAATTATCTTAGGCGAAATGGAAAAATGATTATGGAAACTAATTCAATGCTATGTAATACAACTCAGAAGAAGCAGGGGCAATTTTGGAAATTCAGTTAGATGATAGGAGCGGGAAACATCGATTGGGGGAGGCTAAGAGAATGCCAGAAGACAAAATTGTACTTATTTATTAGATTAGGGGATTTGTTTATTATATATTATATTGTACATAGGCTCTTTTCGACCATTCACAATATTATAATCTAATGCAATACATAATCAACCTCAAAAGGGCTTCCACTATTTACATTAATGTTGATTTTGGATGAAATGATGATTATTTGATTTCTTATCATCATTCATATTTTCTACCTGGTTGAGTCCACGGATTTTCAATAACAAAGACATTAGTTAGTTAAGGTTCTTGTTGATTGCTCAATATAATGGTGGCTTGATGTACATAGTATTCATTTTTTACTTCAAGGCGTTTTGGGGAAGGGATGGGGGAGGGGAAGAGGGTGTTGCCGAAGATGATTTTCGTAAAGACTGCTTTGTTACTTGTATAGCACATTCTTGTCGGATTACAAAGATTCCATGAAGGTTTGTGTAGAGAAGTGGTAAAGGGTAGGATGTTTGGGGGGGTGTGTGTGTGTGGGGAGGGGGGGGGGGGGGTAGAGGAGATGGCACTTGTCGAAGAAGAAATGTAGATGATGGTTTTATGTGGAATGAGATCAAAAGATTTAGTCGGAGATAGGTTTGGTCCACGAAGGTGAAGGAGAGTTTTGGGTGGGGCTGACGGTGTGTGCCCTTCTCGTTTAATAATGATACAAATATTTCATAAAAACAAAAAAAGTAATATCATAAGGGAGAAAGTAATCATTTTATGTTGGAAAGAAACCAAATTCTTTTTTATAAAATCTTTGAATAACGAACAAAAAAGAATAAGCCGAATCCAAAAAACTGCTGAACACATGGACCAAAAATGCAATTTAGTCTATTTATTATACATATAATTAAATAATTTTCTTAAAAGTTTTATATGAAATAAATTAACATAAATTTCATATGAGTTCTTCAATTTTTGTTCATTCATTAATACCAACAAATAATGCATCGGAACACATAGCTGTGATTCCAAATCAACTATGAAATACTTTTTTTCCGGTTTCTCTTTCTAGGTTGTATTAACAATTTTGGGAATAATATAAATGTAGATACATGCCATGGTCGTTTCTCTTCAAAAGCATGGTATAGATGTGGACAGCCCGTTATTCCCCCTTTGCTCCAGGGACTGTGAAAGTGTGGATCACATGTCTTTCGTATTCAGGCTAAAGTCCTTTCGAGTAAATCTTAGAGATGGTGGGGGCGCTGAACTTTGATCAAAATGTAAACAAGCTTGATGATATATGGAGCCAAACTCGGTTACAGCCTCTTTGGAAGTTGGACTACGTCCTAAGTGCTACAATCGGGGGAATCTTTTCAGTGGATTGGGAGCAGGTGCTAGCTGCTATGCATCATTTGTAACCCATGGTGCTAGTCGTTCGTTGTGAGCCCAGGCTCCTTGTCTCTGTTTAGTGACTGCCGTTTAAAAATAAATAAATAAATACTTATGCATGGCCATAGCTTTAGGGTTAACTTCACTTAAACACCCCCATTTTTATCCGCAAGTATATACATCCGTCATCATATAACCATTGTGAGATAGAATGTGTCTACCTGATTATATCCGTACACCAATGTGTAAGGTTTTAATTGTAGATTTGTTTATAGGAGTGAACTGGAGGCGAATATGAAGAGCATGGAAACAAGTTAGCTAGGCCTTAAACTTAAACTATGAATCTCATGGCGAGTTCCATCTTGGCTGAGGGTGAATTCTCACAGGATGCTTAACACAAAACCCCAACCCTTCGTATGAAGAAAAAAAAAATTGACTTTTGATTAGAGTTGTCCAAGATGCTTGGGATGGAACGTACTAAAGAAAAACAGCCATAATTGAGCTGTGTAAAAGTTCATACATTAAAGATAAAGAAGATCTTAATTAATTATTCATATAATGATATAATCTACTATCTTTTAATGGAAGTAGTATTTTGATGTTTAAATATTGGAAACTATATCATAAACTAGAACATAGGATTGAAGAAAGACTAATACTGAACATGTTTTATCCATTATGGACCATCGATCATACAACTTAACAAGGTTCTTAAATGTGATATCTTGTCAAGTGAAACATATTTAATTCATGATACTATTAAAAAACCAAGTATCAATCCCATAAAGTTGGCACCAAATGGGCTTCATTAGAAACCACAAAGCAACATTTGTTTCCTATTTTCTCCTCCTTGATCGAACGAATTGCATCGATTTGTAGCAACTGAAATGAGTAACGCCTCAAACTCTTTGGTTAGAGCTCGTTCAAAAACACACACTAAGTAGTTCATGAGGCTGGAGTCACAAGCCAAAGTGATAGGCCTGTTTGTTGGCAACCCAAACTCATCCTCAGACATCTTCAAAAGCTCACGAAATATATTGTTGTTGAGATAATGCAACGGAATCACAAAACGACTGTGATCCACAGTGTAAACAACAAAATGACCCTTGTCAGCCATCATTGAAGCATTCTTGACCGCTTGTCTACGCCATTTTCTTGCCATCCTCAGGAGCTTCCTAGGCATCAACATGATGAATTATATCACTTCAACTTTTTATCATCAATCATATCATATCATAACCTCCAAGGTATATTGGACGAAGATTTTTGAGCACATATATAGTGTCTCGATTGTGGATTATGATCATCGATGCAATGGAAATGTGACCATGAGAATGCCTTGTATTTTGAGTGTAAAGGGCATGTAGTTGAATGTAGCTTTCATTCATGTTTGGAATGTTTACTAGCAAGTTCATGTGATTAGTTAAGGAAGAGTTTGGCAAATATTAATATCTTCAATTTTGAAAGTATGAATTTGAAATCAGTTCCTTACAATCTTGCATACAAGCTCTTAAGGGCTCTTACATGTGTTTTATTTTCCATTAAAATGTTTCTCTCTAAAATAATTTGAGTAAACTGGATTTGAGAAAATAATAAAATGCAAAACCGGGGACATTAATTTGTAAAAAAAAAATAAAAAATTTACATAAATTTTTTATTGACAACATGATAGCAAAACACTAACGGAAACAAAGAAACACAACCATCAAGAAATTAAAAATAAAAAAATTAAATTGTTTCTAAGTAATTTGTTTTTATATATTTTAACATGATTTCACTAGCATAACATTTTTGAATTTAAACTTAAATATAGCAATAGTAAACCGATTCAATGGAAGTTGGTGTGACATGATTTTAACTTGGTTTGAATTATTCGAATCAATGTTTAAAAAACCATAATCATTTTGGATTAATCTGATGGGATTAAATCGAACTCAGCCATTCAAATGAAGACTCGTGTCACCAATAAAGCTCTACCTTAGGTAGGCAACTTCATTATTGTAGATTTTATTTTTAAGTATTAACGTTTTATCAATGTGTTAGATGTAACATGGCCTTGTAAAAGTACCTTCTTATGATTATAAAAATTTATTGTAAAATACAATAACTAATTATGTTCTACTAGAAAGAATTGGAATATGTGAATGTAAAATCCAATTTTCCTGAACATATATATATAGATATATATATATATATATATATATATATATATATATATATATATATATATATATAGTGTATTGATATATATATATATATATATATATATATATATATATATATATATATATATATATATATATATATATATATATATATATATATATATATATATAGTGTATTGATATCTTCTACTTTTACTATATTGCTGCGGTTCCAAAAGAAAACAATATTTTATATTTTCTTCTCTGGGCAAAACAAGTCAAACTCGTTTTCTTTGGGAGGTCATCATTCTTATACTATATGTAGCATCCCGACAAGAAAACCACTGCCCTAAACAATCCAAATTAAATGAAACCCCATATTGTCATTATTAAGAGTTTTGAAGAGGCTCAAATTCACACACGTATCATATATAAAATTTATTGTTTCGTATTTTTCTTGTATCTTATGCACATAATTTGAATGTAAATTATTGGTTTCATACAAAGCAAGTTAAAGACCATATTAGTAATATGTTAAGTTGTTGAAATGTTGCAAAATTGGTTAGGCATGAGTTTTGGTTCATATTCTTTAGCACCATAAAAGTACTTCACTTGTGGACGAGGCTAATCCACTTTTGGACGACCAACTATCAACCACATACACCGGTATCATTGTATACGTAAGATGTATATAAAAATGAAATTGTGACGCGAATCATATCATGTTGACGAAATTTGGTCCAAATATTCACGGATTATTTGAAGGGAAAAGTGGTACTGCTTTAAACATGTTTAACAGCTTTTAAACCATGAAATTATATATTTTAACTTCCTAGATTATAAAATTTTCTCAATATTTTATATTCATATTTATCTTTGTTAGTCAAGTAAATCATTTAATTTCCTAGATAAATGTCAATTATGTCATAGTTTATGATGTCGGAAATCGTGCCAACTATGGAAAACAAGAACCCTTACGAGTCCCCTGCCTAATAGATCAATACCTAATAGATCAATAGAAGGCCTCTTTTAGAGAACTAGTCTCCCACTTATACCATATTGGTCCATCTAGTTGTTAAGTATTGGGGTATACTTTTATAACCAAATGTAAGGTCTCATATTTCAAACAATTTTTTTTTTCATTTTTAAAAACCATGTAAATATATCAATTTTATTCTCAAAAGTAATATCCAAACGTTTTAACGCCATAAATCGGAGTTATAAAGTTAAAGTCAAGATTGCGGAAAAATCTCTAAAACATAACAGCGGATGCAATGTAATCACGTTGCGCCATTCTCTTTGCTACATATAATAGGCGCAGCCCAACATTTATGTTTCAATCATGCGAGCTCAACCCAACTAGCATGTAAACATACAACAACTAGCTACACATGCATCATACATATAATGTCACATAGTGACGTACAAAGTATAGTCAGAAGAGTCACATGAATCAAACAGTTGAAAGGACAATACTCAAAATCACGCAGAATCAGCTACACACTTCACCTAATACAACCAGAGGTGAAACTTCATTTGATAACTTAAAACCTCGAAGTTTGACCAAAAGTCAATGTTGTAAAAAAGCCAACGGTCAACGGTTAACCACATTGACCAATGCGTCATGACCATCTCCTTTGTCGTGTCGTGGTCAGTAAAAGCCAAGACAATTGGGGCTGGATCTCGCGACAAACTATCCACCACGTTGTGGTTAGCATCCAAACAACTTAATCCATTATGCTATTGACCATTAACGTCCAGAGCTCAAAAGCTCTCATTTGATGCTTGTTGGGTTTATATTCAAAAGCTATGACTTTAGCAAAAAAAAGCATTTTAAAAAATATTATAAAACCAGTTTCATTTCCCAAACAAAGTATCATCATGCAAAACATAAAAAGATTAAAACAGATCCATAAAGGGTAAAAGGAAAGCGATAGTATCATAAAAAGCCTTAAGTTTTCAAGAAATATTCAGTTTTTCCCTTTAGTGTCTTTTAGGTTCACTAAAGCCGGAAATTTGTCTAAATTTTTGCGATTTTTCCCTTTTGGTAAGTGTTGGAGCATGGAAATGCTCTACAAATAATTAGTGATAGTTAGGTTATATTTTCCCTTTATTGTATTTTATGGTGTAAATACTCTCCCTCCTATATAAAGGGAGAGTTGGTCATTTCTTACTTAAGGAAGCTCATTTTTCTTCGTTAAAGATTACTTTTGTACTTCTCACAATGTAAAGGGAATTCTCATCATGTAAAGGGAGAGGTGGGTTCTCGCACCCATGGAGAGTTTCTCTCCCACCATGTTCTTCATGAAATATATTATTAACTCTCTTTCTTTCTCATCTTCTAAGAATTATCATCATGTTCTTCATATTTTTATATTTTGATACATGATAAATCTCAAGATTATTTCTTCCGCATCCACCGTTCGTTCAAATGGGTTCTATAAAAATGGGTCTCTACAATTGGTATCAGAGCCGTACCTTGAAGATCTCACAATTAGTTCAAGGGAACGACTCCCGTTCCGTGATTATCTTGTGATTTTTCCGTGTTTCTGCAAGAAAAATTTTCGGGTTTCAAACCAGAATTTTTTTTATGAAGTTCGTTCATAGTTCTATTTTCTGGGTGATTCCTACTTAATAAAATAAATTGTTGCTGCTGCTGCTCGTTTTATTTCTTGCTGGAAAAAGATGTTCTTAAAAGATTATTATTTTTGCTGTTGAAGAAATGAAGAAAAATGGGAGAAGAAATTATTTTTGTGGTCTCTACAATGTTGAAGATATTCTCCAGGAGGTTCTTTTTCTTGGATGAGAAGACACAAAAATTATGGGCTTATTATTCTTGAAAAAAGAGGAGAAAAGCATTTTTTTTGAAGATTTTATCTTCCAGCAACTCTTATCATTATGATGTATGAAGCTCTTGATTCTCATATTTTAGTTGCTGTAGATCTTCAAATTGAATTGTTTGGACGTAATGTATTGTTTACTCCCTCAAAAAGACAAAAAACCATGTGACATTCTCCAATCCCATCACCTTTTGTCCTTAAAAACCACCTACACACTCTTATTTTTGCCTTCCCAAGACCCACTTTTGACTTAGAATGCTTTATAAAAAGATCCCCTCATTAAAATATGAATAAATGGCCTTTGCGGTACCATTTTTCATGAGAAAATAGCATTCTTCGTCACCTGTTCAGCCCTTCTCGGAGCCCAGAACCGCAGCCAAAAACTGCCTACCGGAGCCTCCCCGCAACCCTTCTCAAGCCTTGATCCGAAGCCTCTTGACCGCAGCCTAACCCCCTTTGCTGATGAACCGAAGTCCAGACTCCCTACCACAGCCATTCGCTCCTTCCGGACCAAAGTGTTCCCTCAGACCGCAGCCTCGGTCAGCAGTCTTGGACCGTAGCTCACATGCGCAGTGGCTTCCCGGCTCGCACCGCTGTGGCTTTGCTCCCTTGCACCGCATCGCGTACCGCAGCCAGCTATCTGCATCCGCAGCTTGACTCTATTCGCAGCCTTGACCCACCTAATCCGCAATGCACCGCATTCCATCAGCAACGCTCATCCACTACCCAAGACTCCACCCCACCGCAACCAACCTTCTCCTACCGCAACCTCTCTCCATCAGCAGCCTTCCCTAGACCCACCTCCACCCTCCTTTAGCCCCTCCTTCCTCCCTTCCCTTCTTCCTTCTTCCTCCTCCCCTCCTCCCTCCTTCTTCCTCCTTATTCCTCCCCCCTCCTCCCCTCCTTTTTTTTTCCTCCCCTCTCATCAGCCCCTTCCTTTTTTTAAAACCCTCTTATTTTTTTTAACTTCTTCTTATTCAGTTTTATTATTATTTTTTTTTCTTTCAGATATTTTTTTTTAACGCCGATTATTTTTCATTCAGCTATTATTTTTTTTAACATCAATTTTTTTTATTTAGCCATTTTTTTTATTAAAACCAATTATTTTCTTTTTTTTTACACCAATTATTTTTTTTAACACCAATTTTTGCCACAACCGAACCTTGGATTGTCACATTGGTTCATTTCATTCCGGTTATTATTGG